TACTTGTCCACGATGCTTGACACCAGAGGACACCAGTCAGGCTCCTGATTCTGGAAAGAGGGCATAGGCCTAACCTCATCATAGAGGTCAACTACCTCGGGAGTACTCCTTGGCCGAGGATGTGATCGAGGTGGACCAGTAGGAGTCTCAGTGGCCTGTGTGGTCGGAGTATGTCCCCGGGCAGAAGTTTCCCCAGGCCCACTTCTGATATTCTCGGGGCCTGGGTCCCGAGCTCTCTTCTTCCCTCTCTTCTGCCCTGGAGCTCGAGCTTGAGGGGCCTTTGACTTTTTGGTCACGGCCTGTCTGAGGGCTGAAGGATCAAAAGTCATCTCTGCAAAAAAGAGCAAGTCATTAGAACGAGCACAATTATAAGTTCAAGGACAGATCAGTAAAGAGGAAGGCAAAAAGGTCCTACCCTCAGTGCCCTTCACATCCGCGAGATCGAGAACGTCATCCCCGAGGATGTCATCTATATCATATACAAGAGGCTCGAGGTTCTCTAACATTACCCTATGCCTCTCTAAAGATTCAAAATAGGCCTGGCCTTCACAAAATCGAGGAGTGTCGGGCAAAACCCACCTAGGGCTAAAAGGAAGGTCGCTATCCTGAGGTATGACATAAAACCACTTTTCTTTCCAACCTTTTAAAGAACTAGGCATCCTCGGTAATCTAAATCCTCCTCGGGATGAAAGATAGGCAAAACAAGTATATTGAGGAAGCTGTTTCAGGTCGAACACCATCCTACAGAGATCAACGTATGGGTTAATTCCTAGGTATCTACAGGCTATAAAGAAATAGGTAAGCATCCTCCACCCATTTGGCACGAGCTGACCAGGGCTCATATTATGCTCGACCAATAGGGCCACAAAAAAGGGATGCAGAGGCCATCAAAATCCCCCCTTAAGTGAGTCCCTAAAAATCACGAACTCTCCATCCCGAGCAAAGGCCATCCTATCCTCTACCCCTGGCGTCCTAACGTCGCATTTGGGCATGAGCACATATTGGGTACAAATTCTAAGTTATTTTTCTTTCTTGGGATTAACTTGAGGCTTGTTCAAGTAATCCAAACACATTGATTATCATATATTCCATTGGAATTCATTTCTTCTTCATTTTCTTGTTCTTCAAGCATATTGAAAATTTTCACTTTGCCAAATTAGTTTGATCTTTGGGCATTCATTGAGAGGTGTTTTCCCAACAGTCTAAACAGAATTGAGTCACAATAATAGTCAAAAGTTTCTACGGACACACAAAACCTACCACGACACAACCCTCCACCGCAGTGATGTTCAAGCGTCCACGTAATGGCCCTTGATGGTATAGTGAACGTAAACTTGCTCTTCAACCTGGCAATTAATATTCATCGGCTTCTCCATAACAGTGCCTGCAGCCTTGCAAATAATAATAATAATAATATGAGAAGAAGAAGTTTCCTCTTTTAATTAATTGCTTCTGCATTTTGTCTCTGTAACATTTTCTTGATAGTGAATTTGCATATATGAATTCGTAATTTTCTCAATAGGGTTTTTCGTGGAAAAAAATTCAAGATTTAAATCTAAATGCTGGTTGCGTGTATAACAACACATTAAACACATCTTTGGATTCCTAAAATTCATTTTTTCCATATCATTCTCGACCACACATTTCTTGAGATCCACATATTTTAACAACTTTTTAATCACCTATTTCATCGACTTTTATCAAAATATAATAAAAATCAATATTTTAGCTAAAATCGAACAGGGAGTAAAGAGATAACACTAGGCAGCATTAAATTTTAATGTTGTATTGCTGTCAAAATTAGATAATAAGTTAATAAGACAGCCAACCAGATCGAGACTTTCTAAGGTCTTTTCATATTCTAGAAAAAATTTGTGGACTTGATCAAAACAAGTCTCGAAGATCTAAATGCAGCTAGGGTCAAGAATAGTAAATGCCACATCCAGAGCAAGTGGAGGTTGAACTTAATAGAATGAAAGGTAGGCCTTTCAGATATATGGATTATGTTGTCCGTTTAGTCCTCAAGATTTTGTATGCAGACAAAAACTATCAAAATAAATCGTCGATGAAAAATCGTTTGTCTCGTGCACTCTTCCTTATAGCTTACTGGTATTAGTCGAGTTAATTCAATCATGGACGGGTACTCTCTCTCTGTCTCTCTCTCTCTATATATATATATATATATATATATTGCATAAGTGTGTTGTCGTTAATATTGTTGAATCGCTTCATTTAAAATTTAGAGACGGTCGAATTCTGACATGTAACAAGTTGTCTATTCCCTCTTTGTGCGAGTTGACATATGAGTGTTAATAATATTAGACTATACTAACATAAAAATGTTGTACGTCTTGATAGAGCCAACTCAACCTCCACACAGCCGAGTTCCAGGACGAGCATCCACGTGACAGCCATCGATAGCATAGTGAATGTAAATTCACTCTTCACCATCGCAATCTTCATCGGCTTCTCCTTCACTGTGCCCAAAGCCCATATCGTCGGGAACACGCAGTCGTGTCACGTCGGCATCGAAACGGTCAGAAGACTTATAGTTTCTGAAATTGTTTCCTTCAGTTCGTTTCTATTTTCCTCGCTCATAGCACAAAGTCTCAAATTGACAATCAACTCGCTCAACAGTTTAGATCCAATAGAACATCTTAAAGCTGATATTAACTCTTCTGCATTGAAATTCGGGTTGTTAGGCTCCGCCGTGGGATCGGTGGTGGGATGCCTTTCGTTGATAGTTTCGATTTCGTATGCTATTCAAGTGAAGTTGGGAGTAATTTCTTGTGGAGGAGAGTCAGTATTTGCGGTTGCAGTATTGGCTGTATTAGTGGGTTTAGGACTACTAATTTATATCATGGCTACTATATTGCACTTGTTTCATTGTTTTATTCCCCAAATAATGGCTGATAAATAGGTCCAAACGAGAAGATGTTAATGCTTTCATGCCTTGTATTGAACTGTATTAGATAATATAATTGATAAAATTTACTCATTTTGTCAAATATGATGTAAATTCTTTTTCGAATAATTGCTCATGTTCAAATTGTTCAAATTTTGATCCAATCATTGATATCAAATTTTAATAATTGTGATTAGATGTGTATAAAAAGTGTATCTTTTTCTTGTTGAAAATAATAGTTTAGAAGCTTGAACCGCTTGGTTGGTGTGTTTGGATTATGTTGATAATAATTAAAGCGTGTTTGGGGGAGTGTTTCATAATTTAAAGATAGAATGCTTTTGGAACATTAATTATCGACATCTTGAATTGTACAATCGAAATCATCTCTAAAGATTGAATTGAAGTAAACTAGTCCACCTCCGCATGCGATATCAAGAGAAAGACGACAAAGGGACTCAATGAACAACAACTTTGAGAGAAGACTTGCTAAAGCACATCGTCACGTTAGATGTTCCAGTGACATCAACTCAAGGAACGTTCGAGGGGTCTTCACCCTACACTCTAAATTATAAATAGATAGAAATAAATGTTGAATACATAAATAATATTTCTGAATTCCTCAAAATATACGAATAAAAAATAGTTTGAATTTATAAACAAATAATAAACACAAGCCAAGGTTCATTAATCCTTGCAAAATGAGGTAAACATGGATGAAGCAATGAACTTTTACTATTATGCCTTATATTTTTATTTGAATATTGTTTCCCAATTAATTCTTTGAAAATTCACTTTTATAACTATGCAATGCACACATTACTTGAAATTTTAATGGCGAGCATGGAATGAAACTATCTAGGAGGACTACTAGCGTACAGAACTAATAGGTTGAGGAAGTCAGTGACAAAAATGAAATAATAGGGACTATTTACGTGCTTTTCCTCCATAATTATTATTTTTTTATTTTACATTTTTCCTTCATAATTCTAAATCATAAGTTGGAAGTTGGAAACTATATATTTTTGAAAATTAGATAGAATGCATTCAAAATAAAACACACTTTGTTATTCATAGGCCTATAAAATATGGTAGATTTGTCCTTTTTAACAAAACGAATCTTTTCCTTTTAATTTTTGAACGAAAATACAGGTTAAATAATCGTTTTTACAAAAAATTTAGCCTCCATCTATATACAAATTTATAATGACTTATAAATTGAGTCGATCAAACGTTAATTTCAATCGTACATCCATAACTAATGTTCATTATAATTCCTACATTTCGTGAAATTCCTAATATTCATCTTTACAATTTTGTCAAATCGAAGCATAATACAGTAGGACTTCGAGAGTTTACTTTGAAAGGCTGAACAAGGAGATAACTACTATCAGCCGTCGAAGCGCTTAAAGCATTCGTGCTTGAATGTCAAGATCAGGGTGTGATAATTTTTTATTTGTGAAACTGAATTGGATTAGATCAAACATTATTCCACATTGTTTGAATGAGGTAAATAATATTTTGTTTAATTATTTTGATATATCAACAGAAACATCCCAATTTAAAATTTTTTTTCTTCAATTGAAACAATCTAGCCCCAAGTTTTCCGGAAATCCCCTTTTTCTCTGCATCTCCGATTTTTCTTTCAATAATGCCCTACCTTTCTTTTAATTATGTTCTTTTAGCTTTATAGATGTTGTTTCGTCCTCCAAAAATTTCAATACCCATTATTGGAATTATAGATAGTTGAGAGCTTTCCATATTTTCCAAATTCTTAGATTTTCATGCAGTTATATATTTCCTTTCTCCCCAATTTGATAGAATTTATAATCTACATTTTTTATTAAAGTCAAAATTAAAAATTAATTTTAACCATATATTTTATGAGACTCACAATTTTCAACACACATCATTAACTTTTATCAAAATCTGATTTTAATGAATATCAAACATGGGCCTTATAAAATTTGTGTTCTGCTTCAGAAAATTGTAGCTTGTCACAACTCTGATAAGGAAACCTAAGATTTTTTCATATCTGAATCGAACTCTAATAGTTAGACCTTTGAGTTGTAGAGTTCATTTACAATTTTTTTTCTTTGTAAAACTTTCCTAAGAATTGGAAAAATAAATTATAATTGTAATTACCCATGCGCAATAATATGAAAATAATGCAAATAAATTTTCATACATTTGGCCAAAAATTAACACGAGGACAGAGTTGTTGTTGGAAGAAAACGGGTCGCTCGACCCGACCCAGTTTGCATGGAAATGATTATTAGAGGGAGGAGTTGAAAATTAACTCCCTTAATCTATAACTCTCCAATAAGCATCCACTCAACCAACAACAAGAAAAACTACACAAGATATTCAAAAATTCGGGTTCTTTCAAGGTGTAAAAATTGGATGCGGGTGAAGGCTTGATTTTTGGGAAAATTACATCTCTAATTGGGTTCTTGGATTGTGAACAATAAACTTCTTCCTTGGTGATCAAGTTTTGACCAAGAAGCGGGTACAGTGCGGTGTTGGAGGAAAGCAATCAATAGGCAAGAAATTCAACCTTGTTTTTGAGATTTTTAAGTAAGTTTCACAACTTAAATTCGGTTAAAAGCATGAAAGCATGTTTTAGAATGGTATCAGAGCCTAAGTATGTTGTTTTTTTTGCTTAAATATATGCTGTAAATGATTTAGAATGAATGAAATGCATGAATTCCCATTTTCTTTGAAACCTTGAATGTCGTTAATGGAGAATTTTGATAATTTATACTGTATGTTCATGATGTTACGGAGAACATGTCTGAAAAATTTTCATTTCATTTGGATTTGTATTTTGGGAGAAAAATCGAACCCTAGTTGAGAAAATCGAAACATCATCACATGATAATTTCTTGCACGTTAAGTTTCACGCTACCTATTTTATATGGTTGGATAGATCTTCTCGAAAACTTTCCAATGATATAAAGAATATAAAATTTGGCCTTGAATTGAGGAAGCTATGGCCCTCCGAAGTTTCACTAGAAATCTGAAGAAAAAAATGCTTCTTTTTTTTTAAAGGACAATGAACAGTAACCCAAAAAAATATTAAAAAAAACTGAAACTGAAACTGTAGCAGAGGGTGGGAATTCCAAATTCCAATTTTAAAAAAGTTGCATGTTGGTCCTCAAACTTTTGAATGTTAAATATTCCTAATGTAATTTGGAAAATTGCATGTTGGTCCCTCAAATCTTACAAAATACAATTTTTATTCCCAACACTTTTTAATGATGTTTATTCCAATATCAATTTGAAAAGTTGTTTGTTGGTCCCAAAATGATATTTTTTTGGAAATTGATTATTCCAAATTCAATTTAAAAGATTACAAATTGGTCCCTCGAATATTCTTGATTTTTTTATGTAATTAAAATAATTTTCAGATAATCAAAAATATTTATATATACAATATTTTGGGACTTGATTAAATCCTAAAATTTAAAAAAAAAATCAAGAATATTTTTGTTAAGTGTTGTTAAGTGGTATTTGCCTTGTGGGAGCCCTTTTTTTGTGTTCTCATTTTTTTTAAATGAAAAATACTTCGAAAGTATTTGATATACCACATTTTCTATACATTCATGAGTGGTGGATCTTGATTAGGTTATGCGATCCATTGTGACTAGTTTCTCAATTTATTGTGCTTGATCAGATATGGCTGGATTAACACGCGTTTTTAGCATCCTTAGAGAAGCAGCTAGTGGAGCACGGGCTGTGGAACATGTTGAAAAACTACGTGCTTATAGAAACTATGAAATGGATCCGCGACATAACCTAGTACAACACATAAAATATCTTGAAGCGATGCGTCGAGTGATACATTTGGGACAGCATATATGTGAAGTGGAAAGTATGTATCATCTAAGGAGGACGCTTCCTAAATATTGGCATGATGTTGCTATTGAAGTTTTGGATAATTCATCATCTCTATGCTACAGTTATTTGGTCAGGATCTTGTAGAGAAAATGGAATTCGGAAAATGAGAATTTTGTGATTAATTTAGATATGTATGGTTAGTTCAAAATCATCGAAGAATGTGAAATTTTATTTCTCATGTTTAGTAGTTGTTTAAAGATGTTTAATATGATCGAATGTACCTATTTGACATTTTGATATTAATGTATATGTTTCATATATGGCAGATTTATTCAAAATGTCTTACTAATTTTGTATATGATCAATCTTTTACTTTAGTGAAAGTTCTAAGGGTGAAAGAGTTTAAATTATTCTGACTTAGAACTTGTGATTTTACGCTATGAAATTAATTTTGTGATAATGTAACATTAGGATAATGGATGATGATTGGGAACTTAGTGAACTTTCGACTCCGTGTCTAATGTGAAATTATCATAAAACTTAATTTGCATGAGCGCAAAATGATGTGTGCATAAATGGACATTTATATGATTGTCTCTAATAATTTGACAGACCATGGCATTTAAGAATATCATAACTGACCTAAATAAAGGTGACAAATTGAATGGCGATAACTATAACACTTGGCGCCATAAAATTTGGTACGTGCTAGAGGAACAGGATTGCCTTGAGGGCATTAACCACGTGATGGAAGACCCAGGGGTGGGTCAAACTTCTCAACAAATAAGGGATCAAGAAACTTACCAGACATGGAAAAAAAAAGTTCCACTGCTCGTGCAATTTTGGTAAGTTCTGTGAAGGATGATCTCATACATGAGTGTGAGCAGTTCCCGACTGCTCAAGACATCTGGACATATTTGAGAGAGAAATACGGTGGTACTA